ATCCACAATAACAACTCAAAGTTGAAAATCATTTCTTAATTTAACTGGCAATCTGATATTCCTCTGCGATCTCCGTGTGGTGGTGACATTGGAATTAATTTTTGAATTCTCCATAGGCTCTGATGTTTCTTCAGGATCATCTACAGGATATGGTATATGGTAATCAAACTCAGAATCAGAATCATTAGCTAAACATGTAGTTTTTGTTCCTATTGATCGCAACTGGTTTATATGCCTCTTCCATGATCTACCATCATCGAGTTTAATCTGATAATGTAATTTTCCAAGCTTTCTCTCTACTTTTCCAAATTCCCACTTATTTTCTCCAATATAATTTCTACACTCTACTCTTTCTCCCTCTTTTAGAAATCGTATTTCTTTTCCCTTATTCACATCTATATAGTCATTTTGATCTGGAATTATGAAATCTAATCGTTGCCTGATTCTTCTGTTGAACATAAGTTCTGAATACTATGTGGAATATTTCAATATTTTATTGTATTGTATCGTATCGTATCGTATCGTATGGTATGGTTTGGTATGGTTTTGTATTGTATTTGTATTGTATTGTATTGTATTGTATTGTATTGTATTGTATTGTATTGTATTGTATTGTATTGTATTGTATTGTATTGTATTGTATTGTATTGTATTGTATTGTATTGTATTGTATTGTATTGTATTGTATTGTATTGTATTGTATTGTATTGTATTGTATTGTATTGTATTGTATTGTATTGTATTGTATTGTATTGTATTGTATTGTATTGTATTGTATTGTATTGTATTGTATTGTATTGTATTGTATTGTATTGTATTGCATTGTATTGTATTGTATTGTATTGTATTGTATTGTATTGTATTGTATTGTATTGTATTGTATTGTATTGTATTGTATTGTATTGTATTGTATTGTATTGTATTGTATTGTATTGTATTGTATTGTATTGTATTGTATTGTATTGTATTGTATTGTATTGTATTGTATTGTATTGTATTGTATTGTATTGTATTGTATTGTATTGTATCCCATCCTCGTCGCCAAACTATTGTATATGTAGTATGAATTCTTCCATGAGAATAAAAATCCAATTTGGATCTCAATAATTTTAATACATAACTGTAACTATCGTAATATACATAACAACCGATGCTCCTTTTATCTTCCAGTTCTCATGTCATAATGTACATCTAGAAATCCCTATTTTATACAGGATGTGAAAAACATGTAACAAAATGAGAGACAAGAGATAGTTTCATTTCCACCTGAATTGCATACAGAGAATGTTTTTATCCATTTTTATAATATGAGTGGAGCTGATGGCTGGATAAGGCGAACATGCTCGATTTTCATCATCAACATCCTTGTCATCATTTTACTTCTATATGAATGAGTAATGAAGTGAAAAATCCCAAAATATTACATCTGATATCAATCCGATGACTATCATGATACAAAAATTCGGTAACGAATTCTTTTTTTTTCTTAGGAAAATATAATTCATTCAATTCTCAAGTACCTACAGTATCTACAACGTTTTGATGATAAATTGAGTTTAGAAATAGTTATTCACCTAACAAGTGCAGAGAGTAGAACTCTTCTTCAAGAGTTAGGTACAATGTTTTTCCTACGAGAGTTTCTGTCAGAATTATTCATGAAAAATTAAGTTTTTGATCAACAGGATTTCATAATAATACTACAAAATGACATTACTTACCAGATGAACTGGAACAGCCAACAAAAATTGACTAATTTTGATAAGCCATAACTCGAACATTTCTTGGCCGATGTTGGATTTTCAACCAACGGTAAAAAGCATCACCTTTGGCTATGCGTCATTAGCGTCGGTTTTTAATTTTTGCGATTCGTTCTCTTTGTACAGAGTGTGAATTGAGAGCCGGGAAAATTTCAAATTTCTTACCAATAATTTGGGAGATGTGAGGGACCCTAGAATTTTTTTTCAGATGTTGGGTGGATGGTTGGTCCGATACCTCGAGACATCTTTGAAATTATTTTGATAATTTGCGTTGCTATGGAAAAATCGCCGTTTTATGAAATTCCATTTTTATTTCTTAATGTGGCATCTTTTAGTTAAACAATAACAGCCAACATCTGAACTGCAATGAAGGATATTTCTACTGAAGATAATTAACACCAGTGGCGCGTAAAAAGGGGTTCACGATATTTAGAAACAAAAAATTCGTTTTTATTGGAAGAATTCAACAGTTTTATTGATCGTTACAGTTGAAGAGGTGTCATACCCTTGATCAGCACGATGTTGACAAATCTAGAGGCGTACAAAAAAGGGGCTCATAATATTAAGAAACGAAAAAACGTTTTTATTGGAAAAAATCAAAAGTTTCATTGATCGGTACAGTGAAAAAGTTGCGAAACATTCAATGAGTATGATGTAGACAAATTCAAAGGCGTGCAAAAGATGATTCTGTAATGTGGACAAATTTAAATTTCAGTTTCATGATTTATTTCATTTCCATTTATTCACGAGGTATATTCATGTGATTAATTCCTTTTTAATGAACCCATCGGCGTACAAAAAACCATAGGCTTATACGTACATGAGAGAACTTCATTCAAGAAACTGAAACAATATTCCACTCGATTTCTAGATTTTCATATATTTTCTACATGGGAATATTATTGTCTCCGTACTACGCATTCGTATCTTCATCATAACAAGATATACCATATGACAATTCGGTCAGGCAATATTTTGTGAACAAGGGTGTTCTAAGAATTGCAAAAATAATGTATATGAATGAATACGAACAGTAACTTTGCGCCCACTAGTTAATTCATTCTGTATCAAGAGTCCTCAGTTCAAGGTCAAATGATAAAAAGTTTGAAGTTCCAAATAATATACCCTGTATATTTCAAAAGTTCATATCAAATCAGGGGCCAGGTAGCCGCGTGATAAAAAAGACAGTATTCATTTGTTGTTATATTTCGATGTAATGAGAGTACTGCACTATTGATCACCTATTTTCTGCTTTCTTTGCATTGGTTCATGGATAAATTTGTTATTGATGACCTACCCACCTAGCAGAATAGATTTCTGAAAGAATGGAATTCATCTATGATCATCGTATAGCGCCCCTTGAAGTGTAAGTATAAGAATTTTATGACAATGACGTACAATGAAATTCCTATGAAATAATTTCAGAACAGTGTCATACAGATTTGAATACGGTTGCATAGGTATTGTTATACTCATAATAGCGACGTTGAGAGTTAGTGGTGAAAGATAGCTGTATATAAATAGTTGAATAAAAGTCTCTTGATAGAAATAATAAGATTGCTGCTTTACTCAGAAGTGAAACATCACACAATTGATATGAAAGTATTTTTGAATCAGTTTATAACTCCAATATATAGTAGTCTTTTTCATGGAGAGCTTAGAGAATAGAATTGTTTTCCCCAGAAATGAATATATCTCAAGTTTTGTTTTCAGAATATATTCAAATCATATGCATATACCTACGAACATATAAAGATAACCAAATAATTTGAGGTTAGTTCACCCAATTTTATTTAGTAAACACAAATTATTCGGAACAATATTATAACTTAATGATTGTTAACTGTCGTAACGCACGCATGTTGAGCGATTATTCTGTTCTATCATGTGGTTTGCCAACGCGCAATAGAATAATACGGAAATCTAACGTACCTACTCAGTGTTGCTAGATTGAGCACTTTCAGGAGTTATATCAATAACTTACATCGAATTAGTCACACACAATGGGTAGAATATTCATTATATTATGATAGAATAGAAGTTCAAGATGTTCTAAATGCACCTAAAATGTATGTTTTTTCCACTTTCAACGCCGATTGTTATAGGAGCTCATTGTTACTTCGAACAGTGAAATTTCAATGGAGAGAGTCTGGTCATATGAACAAATGCAATATTGCGGGAGATTTCCTATTATCACTCCAGAGAACAACTTTTTTTTAATAAGAACTGAATAATAATTGCAACAGTTCCTGTGTACTTACACTTGATGCAATACAGCAACGTGTATTTTTGCACACGATTGATTTGATTACTCACTATACTCATGGTTTTATATCCACATTCTTTATATGAATATCGACCCATTTTTCCTGACAAACAATGATGTGGGGTGAATATTTCATCTATATCATTGAATCTGGCAACATTCAAAAGTGGTCAAGAATCAAACCGCACCTGACTTCTGAGTATGTCAATAATAATTTTAAAATTGTTTTCAAGTACTCCAGAATCTATGCCACTGGATGCTTTCTATCTACTCGAAATGTCTGAAATAGTTGCTCATTTAAGGAACATCATTTGGCTGGTTCAATATGTTGAAAATATCATGGATGAGTAGTTTGATCACTCAGAACTTGAACACCCTATATCTCAGTAATATGACATAATCGGTGCAGTCAAATTTGCTAGATAGCCTATCACGATGGAAAGATGTTGTTTGGTTTGAATCCAGCTTTGAGAGCATTATTCGCAAAAATATGTGATTTATGGTTGTAATCCTAGTAGCACCTAGATGCCCCAGAAGTGGTTCGGATTCAACTCTGAGCTGTGAGTCCCGCTCTTCCTAACTCCACACAAGTTTGGACTCCAGGAGAATTGGTTCGAAGTGGCGATAAAAAAAATTTGAGAAATAGTTTCTACGAATGAGAAAAACATTTAATTGCAATTCTATCATAGTTCATTTTCCACAAGCCCTTCAATGAATCGGTTTCTTCTAAAACATTTCATATACATGTTCGTTCGTTTCCATTCGAAACTGAATACCACGATGCAATTTTCTTTCAAAATATCCATTGGTTATACGTATGGTTGATGAGTTTGGTCTATATATCACATTATAGAGATAATTCAGTTTGAAAAATCGCTCCTCTCCGTTCTTTGAACAGAAGTTTATCAAAATTCTCAATCTGCACTGCAATCCTTAGAGCATAGATTTACGACTCTAATCTATTCTTAGAGACTCACCTCCTATGCCTGCCATATATTGCAGTAATCTGCATTTTTTTCCAGCCATCAATGAACTGATATTGAACTTCATTCTGAATTTGTGACACAACTCAATATTTCGATATCACTTGCACTGTCTGCTGAGACAATCTTCCAATTCAGTAACTATGGAACATAAACATAACCATTACGAGGAGAATGAGAAACAACTAACAATCACTGTCTTCATCACACTGGGATATCTTTACTCCAACCATAATAGTACCTGTATGTATGAAGAGATGGAAGCGGAAAAACCCGTACACTTCAAGAAGAACCGAATTCGAGATAGTACCTTGATCAGGTATTTTACAATACACTCGGTGTCGAGCACAGAACTGTGCCGCGCCTGACAGTGATGTGAATGCACTGCAGTAGCTGGACAAACAGCTCCTTATTACATAGCAGAATAAGAGAGTAGTGGTGTGAATTACTTATTTACCAGCTTCGGAAGAGGACAAGGTCATCAAATCAAAATGTGAAATATTTGGATTTGCATTCCATTTCAAAACGAAAAGGTGTGCGTATGAAAAATATCGAGATTCAAGAAAATGATTTGAAATCGACAAAAAAAATATATCTCTATGACATGGGGAAGAAATATTTTTTAATGTGGTTTCAACCTTCAACAGGTATCGTGAGTACCCTGATATTCTCCTATGTTCGTTAAAAAATCGTAGGGATTTTTCTCTGCAGAAATTAAACACCTTCAAAAATAGAGGGTGATTGGGGTTTGCTAATTATACCTTTGTCAGTTATTTCACTATCAAGCGATTTTTTTCATCACAGGCGTCGATAGTGAGCTCTGAAGGACAAGCCTCGATAGCGACTACTTTTCACATGACATTTCAAGTGATTTTTACAGCATACAAAGAATATGGATTTTTAGGCAGATTTCCTTTGATACTCAAATACCCAATAACTCTCTTTCTGTTGATTCAAATATGAATCGGGTTATTTCGTGGTTCATAGTTTCCATCAGATACTTCGAATTGTCATGAGTTTTTTATTGTGATTTTTCATCACCTCATAAGAAAGGGGATATTGAAATACCCCACGATACCAGATATGTGTGGCGAAAACACGATACTAGTTGAGGTTTATGAGGAAAACGAAACAAATATTTGTGGAACTGGATGAGTGAAAAACATAAACTATGTCTTATTGCATCAATCATTGTATTTTGTCAATGCTGTGGAAATCAAAATATACTGAGGCCGCCGATGAGTCTGCCATGAAGATGCATAGATACAACGTCGAAACAATCATCAGTGGTTACAATCCGAAAGATAGTGTTCTCATGCAGTTATATCGCACTGAGATTCATCAACTTCATTGAAATATTCCTGTGTGAACATAAAATGAAAGTTATATGAAATCAAAATATTATTGAAAGATTGGAACACAAAACTCATAAAGAACGTTACAGAAGCATATTCAATTCAAGCGATGTGATGATTTTTTCAAATATTAATTATGGAATTGAACTTGATCGAAGTACTTTTCACTATACATTTCATTTTATTTATCGTGTTCAAATTACGTTCACTGAGGAGAAACATTATTTGTTATAAGCAAATTGAATCATTGTGGGCTCGTTAATTCAATAAGGACAAAAATTCCATTTGATGTTTCGAAATATCAAGTTTTTTACAGTTGACTGATATCTCTGAGTAAAAAATCCATTAGTCAGAAGTGGATGAATCGAAGGTATCCAAATAATGATAATTATACTCATGATATGTCTATTGCTTCTGAACAAGTTCACATCAAGAGTTGTATGGTAAGTGAAAGATAAGAGCAATATAAGAGAAAGAAAATTACAATATGATGACTGAAGATTGAATGACAATTTGCTAACAGTGTATAATTTATTTATGAGGAGTCAATGAACATAATTTATCGAACATACATAATCACTATCATTAACTTATTATGAATGATCATAATCTGGAAATATTTTATATATACTCAGAAATGTCTTCGGCTACAGAGGAATTGGAGTTTTTCCAACGAATATACATCATCTCGTCATGCACCTATCACATTTCGGATATGATGTTGGACGAGCTTGATGTTCTGGTTTGGGGACATTTTAGTTGATTCATTGTGATGTGCAGCATCATCAGATACGATTGATTCACTTGATTCAGCAACCAGATGGATGAATGTACGAGTGAGTTCACACTATGTTGATATTTCCATTTCATTTTATCAGTTTTTGAATGCATGATAGATCGAGAATTGAGGAAACCTAATCACGAATCTGCGATTGAGGTCTACAAAAATAACAAGTCTCGGATGAATTGGGTGAAAGTATCGAAAAGGAATATTCTCAGATATAATTATTAACATAAAATAATTGCTTTATGTATCAACAAATACATTCAGAATTTGCATCCTCTATGTGATGAGAATATCAATCATTTATCGGTTTATTCAACAGAAAACAACTACTGTCCTGCATATTCGCCACGACGAACATTGAATTACATCTATCGAACTCACACGATGATAATTTGGAAACAAAATCTTATGAAGTAGAGAATTCGATTGAGATACGAGCATGATATATATCAATCTGAATATTCCAATACCTACCTTCTGTCAATAACCTCCCTAGGAACGCACGATGTTCTTTGAACATTATAGGGATTCCCTTTCGTGCGCTCCAAGCGATGGAGAAAAAAAAAATTCAACAGAAAACAACTACTTTCCTGACTATTTGCAACGCTGAACATTGGATTATATCTGTTGAACATCCAAACAGATTGCATTGAAGAAAGAAAATCCTCTGAAATTGAGGAATGACGTCATCTCTCGAATCATAGAATAATTTGATAAATCAAGTCACTTATGAGATCTAGCAGTTTGAAAATTCCACTCAAGTATGTCAGGTAGTGCCATCTGTCAGCAGAGTGGTTCACTTGTAGTACTACTCTGTAGGGTATAGACGTAGGGGTCTATACGTGTGACTATAGATGGCAGCGCCATACAGTGTGTGTCGCGATTTTTGTATCCTATCGCAGGGTTTTGCCACTAGATGGCTACAATATGACTATAACTTCATGTTATACCCTGCATATTGAATTACTATCATAGTGAAAAACATGTACTTCAGATGTAGAAATTTTCACGAACGATAAGATTTCCGCAAAATATGACATGTTTCGCTATCACAGTAGCTTTGTCATGTGATATACTGGTACGATCCAGTACAGAAGAACTTTGAGTTGAATCTGTTCAGATGAACATCTACATGTCGAATCTATATGTGGGTAATCAAAGATGCATGCATTACTGTACATATATCTAGAAATTACTTGACATGACGAAATTCTAACAGATATCGAACATTCAACGATGCACCACATTCGAACAACACCAGGCCTTCTTGTAGCCAGTATAGCTCGTAATCTTGATAATAGCAAGTTGAAAGCAGTTAGGAAAAAATTTGATCTAATGGACAAACTTCGAGTGGTTTGACTTCCAGATAGCTGCTGATACTTCCCGTTTTATATGGTTGTCGAGGAGATTCAAGAATGGCAGCCTTGTGGAGATAATCGGATTCTGAAAGCTCGTACTCATCTCGTACTATTCAGATGTCACATTCTCCAGTTGACATCATTCGTCTGCACAGAGAAAGTACAGTACCATTGATAAAGAGTTGGTTCCAATGTACACAGCAGAGGAATATTTTCTTCATATGCTAGAATGTCGTGAATTCATTTTACCCACTGATCACTAGCCGCTTGAATGCGCATTCAAGCAGATGCCAGAGGAAGCTTCACCGAGACAGTTTCGCGACTTAGATTTCATCGGTTGATTTTTCACTGATATATGGAACTTCTTTGATGAGGATGATATCGTTGTGTATGATTCATCACGTGTAGAAACGGTCTGACAACCAAGTTGAAGGGTCTTCAGTGAAATGGTTGTTTACTGAAATTGAAGAAAATTCGTATACCAGGTGCTGAAGCGAGCTTATACTGTGATATTTCTAGTCCATCGCTCTGACCATATATCACTGAACCATATAGACGTGAAATTTTCAACATGCTATAAAGATTATTCTCCTAAGGTATACGTGTTTCATTGGAACTGGTTGAAGAGAGATATGTGCGGCCTTCCTTCAACAAGGTGTGCCGTCGATGGACGAAATCATGCTCACTTTGCTAATGTTCTAAGATATCTCTTCAATTCACTCCACCTGTAGAAGTATCTCAATATTTGAATAAATTCAGATAGACATCCTCGAACCAGTGCCTTCATTACAAGGATACCCGTTTTGCCTCATTGTCATTGATAGATTCACACGCTCACCTGTAGCGTGTCTCATCTTTGATATATCGGCTGAGATAATAGTAAGAGCTTTTTATACATTGTAGATCTCCAGGCCTAGCGTACCCTTTCGATTGACCTCAGATCAAGGCAGACAGTTTGAGAGTAACGACTTCAGAGCGTAGGCTGAACAATCGGAATCGAGCTCATAATGACAACGGCTCATCTTCGCTAACCCAATGGTAAGGTGAAACGCTGGCACCGGCATCTCGGCGCTGCAATTAGAAGTTATAGAAGTGGAGATTGGGTGGAGATTCCACCATCAATCACCATTGGAATATAAGGAGTATTCAAAAAAGACTGCATTGCAACTATAGCTGAACTAGTTCATGGATAGCCAATACGTCAACCAAGAGAATTTTTTATCAGCCATGCTTAAGAATATGTGTATCAGGGTGACTTCTCATCACGGTTTCAAAAAAATGTCTCTTTGCTGCGGCCTACACCTGGTGATCGTCATGGTAATGTTTCAGTGTTTGTGAACAAGGACTCTTTGAATACTCATATTTTTCTACCGGTTGACACTACTTGCTCATCACTTTGACAGCCTTATGTTGGATCTCTCGGAATAGTGAGAAGAGATGACAAACAATTAACCCTCAATTTCAACGGCAGATGTACTACTGTGAGTGTATACCGTCTCAAGCATGCATACTTCCTGAATATTGCCAGTTGCGTGATCCAGCTTCACTTGAATCGTCAGTACCAGTG